CTTTGTGAGTAAAACAGCTGTGTGACAGCTGACGGAAAACAAAAGATCAGATAGGATCAATAAAGCTCAACATAGCGGATACCAATCAGCTAAAAAATGCTTAGATCTCAGCTAATACATCCCTCATGACCAATATGACAAAGACCAAAAACAGAGGAAGAAAGTGACTGCTGATGATGAAAATATTCTAAATATGTGGCAACAACAAATGAAAAAAATTATAAACAGGTAAAAAAAATAAAAAATAACTACCAACCCTTGTAGGTATTTATTTGCGCATTTGTGGGTGCCATGATAGCTCACCTAATAGATAGAGCTGGCACCCTACGTACCAAGGCTAAGTCCTTGCTGCAGCAGCCACGGGTTTGATTCTGACCAGTGGCCCTTTGCTGAGTGTCATCCCCTCTCTCTTTCCTGTCACTATCATATAAAGGCAATAAAAGACCCCACTAAATATAGGGGGGAAAAGTTACTAATTTGCAAGTTGGAACTGTATACTTTGTATACTTGCAACACAATTTAGGATGTGACGCCCAGCCCGTGTTGTTTAATCAAGAAAAGCATGTAATAGCATAGCCTGACCACATGGAGGCAGAAGCTGCATATGTAATGCAGAGAGGATTTACCTAGAAAATCACTGGGAATAAAGAATGTATTTCTTTGTCTTGTTTAACTTTAAAGTTGTAATCACACTCTGCCCCCATATAAGGTTAAATAAAAAACAAAAACTGAACTGCAACACACTAAAGGAGTGTCAATGCAGTATCAAAGATAAAAAGATTGAAGAGACAAAAGGACAAGACATAATTTAGTACTCACATTTTCAATAACAAACGTCCACTCTTTGTCTTCAAACTCCTCTGCATGGGGGTCCTGCAAAGGCAAGGGAAAAAGAAATACTTAAGTACACACTATGCTATATATATTAGAGCAGAGTGCACTTACAGTATGATTATATGACACAGCATCAAATCTACACCCATCATAATTGTGAAAGCGGTCCTGAAACAATTCATTTGATTAACTTCAGCTCTCATTCACTTAAGACAACTGTTTCAGTAGTTACAACACAAAACCTGCAACACAGAAAATCCAGTTCATGAGTGACAGCTCATCTGCTCTGCCAGCACTATTATCACTCTGTTCACCCACTGACCTGGTTTGTCTGTCCTCCTCCCCTTCTCATAGACGTGTTGAATGTTTTGAATTAATGAGATAACTTTTAATCACATGATAATTAGTTGCCCAGTTGCAACAACCGTTGACTGTCTAAGCAAAGACCAATGCAGTTTAATACAACAGTCGGGCCATAAATCCTACCTTCATGACAGTTACGATGTTCAGTTTCTTGTTCAAACTCAAAGGTGTTGATTCAACTGTATGATCATTTTGGAGGCTGCAGTTTGTGATACTGCTGAAATGTTTTGCGTTATACTAACAAGTGTTTTTATTATGTTGTCCACACCACTGACAAAAGGAACACCTCTCTGTATAATGCAGCACAGTTCAACAGCACCACAAACATCTACAATTACATCATCCAAAATGACCACACAACTGAACAGTATAACCTTCATGAAGGGAGGATTTATTGCAGAACACATCACTACATTAGAATCACTACATTAGAAGACAGAAAAATAAAGAATTATATTAAGTTTCTCTCTGTCTTTCTGCCAGTCGGGTCCAGTTTGCCTCTCTGACGATATATTGTAGTTGTGTCTCCGTTTTGTCTCACTTCCTGCCTGTTTAGCTGTGAGGTGATGAGAGGAGACAGTAATGGAGGCAGCAAGACAGCAGGCAGCCCTGTCTTACTGTGCTCGCATTGACAATTTGCACTGCCCTCCAGGAGCACATACAGAAGCACTCACACACTACCACAAATCACTGTTAGACACACAAAGACACGCAAATCTAAACTAATCAACCCCCTAAAGTGAAAAATCCATCAATCAAATAAAAAAAAACTTTTGCAGGATATAGATTCTCAAATTTCCGACTCATATTTCCAGACATAAAATATAAAAATGAGCTATTTCCATACATCACTTCGGGCTGGGCAGATGGGCATTTGCAGCTATTATTGTTCATACTTTTTGCCCCTAACAGACAAAATTATTAATCAATACAGTGTATGCTTAGTTTAATCGTTGTTGCAGCCCCAGTGCTACACATGCACACGCACACAAGCATGGACTGATGGCCTTTCTGTCTGACTGCGCCTGTGACACAGCCCAGGAAATCAATATTCCTGCAGTGTGGCACAACGCTCAAACACCCACATGTACACAAACACACATAGCAAGTCATACAACTGCCTCATCCCTCTGAATCTTGAATCCTCCATTATTATAACAGAGCATGACATAATCAGCCATCTCAGTTCATGGTGTTGTCTGCAGTGTTTTAGTGCTACATTAGACAGCATGCATCCTTTTTTCTAACATACTGTCGTTGTCAACGTGTTTTAAGGATCTTCATAGACAAAATATTTAAAACCTGTCATTTATCTCTTCTATAGGTTTTAAAATGCAAAGCCAAGACTTTCACTAAGGACTGTTACTAAGTGCCTGCTCTGCTTTCTGCACATTGTCTCTGTTAGGACTGATTTTGTCTAGAGAATAAGCAGTCAGAAGGCTACCCTTTTAAGTTACTAATTCATTTCAGTATTTTCTTGTCGACAAAGTTCAGCTCAGGCTGCCTGCCTGTGTACGTCTCCCTGAGGGACAGGCTGCAATACTGTCGAGCTCAGCTGTTTTTACTGCAGAGCTTCAGGCCAGACAGGGGTATGAGAGCCTCTCCAAATCACTGTTAGCGTTAGCTTTAACCTTCCGTCAACACACTGCCGAAATATCAAAATTGTAAGTTATTAGATCGGTAGTATTAAGCAATATTTTTTATATAAAATGGATATTCCAGCAATTTAGTACTTCAGGTCCATTAAGCTCGAGAAACAGATGGTTAAAATTGTTGCAGCAGAGGTTGCAATATCCTTACTTTTAGTCCATAGTAATGCTAAAAAATCCATGTCCTCATGAACTTCTGTCATGAATCTGTAGTGAAACATTAAACAGCTATTTTAACAGGCTGAGGAGGTCTCCATGTTAAGTGAACAGACTTTTGTAAAACTTATGAGCGTCCCTTTAAAAATGAATTGTATGACTCCATGTAATGTGAAGAGTCTCTTTAGTTCCAAACCTACTGAGAAATGACAACCAACATTGCAATTCTTTGCCACTTTATAACTCTGCCTCACTCACAGAGTGTAGTGGTTGAGTCTCACCACACTCAACACCCCATACTAAAACTGTGGATAGCCCTTTCCAGTAAACAAGCTCAGACAAGATGACTGTACGCTACCTGTCAACAAAAAACAGCAAAGAGACAAAAAAGTGATTTTCTCAAGAGTCTGTCGAACAGGAAGGCAGTGAATATTAAACTTACATGAGTCGGGTGACCAGATGCTCTTGTTGCTCTGTATTTGTGTAGGTACTAACACCTTAGCTATAACAACTTGAGCCAATGGTTTATCAGGGCTGCGTCTGTTTCCTAACGGTCAGAAATTGCTCTATTTTCATTGTAGCAGCTGTAGTGGAAGAAAACTGTTCTAACACAGACTAAGATTGCAGAGGCGATGTTATTTGATTTGTGGTTTTATCCAGCAGATGTGGGTGAACTGTGCCTTGAGTGACTTTGCTTTAGGTCTCATTACAAAAACAGCTTTATTACTTCCTCTGGGACAGGAAGTGGAAGTGGGCCCAGAATAGAGACACTGACATGTAAAGCGCTCAATAAGTAATAGACCTAGAACACTTAGCCAGTACACATGAAAGTTGGACTTCCTCTGTGTGTCCATAATGTCTCAGATTTTTGTCACTATAATAGCAGTCTTTTATTGTGTGCGAGTCCACATGAAGCATGGTATGGACCTTCTGTATCAAATGCCTGACTCACTGATTCACTGGCAATTTATACACCCATGACCAAAAAGTAAAAAACTCCTAATGCTTACACCAAGCAGAGGCAGGTACCTAGGTATTTGTGTCAGGAGGTCCATCAAAGACAGTGAGAGAGGTAACTAGACACTGAGTTCTAAGCTAGCCTGTCAGCACAGAGGCCCAGCATGTTTAAGTAAACCAGGCACGGTGACAGATACTTTCGGTACTTGTGTGTCATTTACAGACACAACTGTATTACTATACACATATAGACCTTCCAGTCATAATTTAAAAAAAAAAAGAAACATTTCAATCTGTGAACTGCCATTGTCCAAATTCTTTTTATGTACAAATCAAAACATGTGAACATCATCCATCCTGGACTTTTGTGTGTCTCTAAATGAAGAGAAGATTGCTGTTATTAATATTATTTCTTCACACAAATCTACACACTTAATATCATTCGTCAAATACTTATGATTAATGCCTTTGTTGAAGTTGTGCTTCTTTTGGATGTCACCCCATTTACTGAAGTTAAAGAAATATTAAAAATACAAATCCATATTTGGTGCATAATCTCCCAATTTTGAGGTGAGCTGAGAGCAGGAATCACTCCAGTTTGATTTTGTAGGTTACTGTCACTTCTATTCATAAAAGACCCTCATGTTCCATTAACAACCCCAGTCCACCTTTAACATAGAAATGCTTGTGCTAATTAAACAGCTGTAACCCACCTTAAAAAGAGTGACAGTGATCTCAATGTTCTCTGGTACAGGCCACACAACCACTCCTCTGTAGGGATTTTTGATGCCAGGCTGCCAGCTGTGGGACTGCAGGACAGAGGAACAAAGAATTATATTTTGGAAGTGAGAAAGTCCTTCGTTTTATTTCACTCGTCAAATACAAACCTTGGATGATTTCCGTCGACTCCTGCGTGTCCAAACCACCACCAGTTTGTCTGGTTGCCTGTGAGGAAGGAGAGAAAAGAGTTCAGTTAAAGAGGCAAAAAGTGTGTATTCATCAATCCACCTATCTCTGTGCCACCATCTACCTACACATCAACAAATTAAGATAAGATAGACTTCATTGATCCCACACTGGGGGAATTCACTTACAACACCAGCTCCAGATACAACACAACAGTTAAGAAAAGTACAACTTAAATAAAATAAAAAATGAAAGAAACACAAGATATAATATAAAAAAACAGAATAAGAGTTAGAATAAGACACTATACAGCTTTTATACAGGTGTGATTAACATGGAATATTGCACAGGGCGAGACAATCAGGCCAATTGATCAGAGCTTGTATCGTAATGGCTGAAGTTTTAAAACCTGGATAAGCCTACTGCTGCACATACACACACCTGCACAGCCACTCATGGTATGAATAAATCATGAGACACAGCTAAACCCTGACTTTGTCTCGGTGGACTGCAGCATACACAGAGAAGCACATACACACGTACAAACAGGAGGTTAGTGTGACAGGAAAAAAACTGAAGGAGGCTAAAGAATTACGACAACCTAACCTGAACCAGGTCAGAGCCACACTGCAGAAGACACAGTGCAACACAACAGATGAGTTAAATAAAGTAGCAGTGAAAGGTGCAGTGAGAGTGCAGGTCAAAGTAAAAACATCAAATTCTCTATCCCACAGAAAAGGAGTAACAGACAACATATATGTTATAAAGAAGATTCTTTAAATTTAGTATGAAAGAGAGGTAAAGTTTCAGAGAAGTGACGCAAAAACAGAGAAACAAAGTCATGGTGCTGAGACACATTAGTGCAGTAAGACTCAAGGTGTATGTCTACGTCAAAACAGAGGCGACGTGTGTGATGTGAATACTGATGAATACTGATGAATACAGTGAATACGTAAACATGGGTCTCCTAAAAAGATACTCAAGTTCTTAAACCGCAATGCACTGCTGTGAATCATACAGCCTGAAAATGTATTTAGTGCAATACAGTGCAGCGGTCACGGTCCATTGTTGTGGCTATATCAATGGAAGTTAAAGACTTGAAATAAGTTCTGATTTAAGTAATCAACTGTAAATATTAAGACGCACAAAGGGCCAATGTTCTTATAGGGCATTAGCTGACTTCTGCACACACACTCTGAACAACCATAAATATAAACCTGCATGGAGCTTGCTACCTTGCCCTGGTGTGAAAAGAACACTGTGACAAATTAGGGAATGTCAAAAGATATATAGATCTATATATATATA